ACCAGTTCTTTTGAAATATTCAATAGGAAATATTTTATTGAAAAAGTCAATAGAATCCTATTTTTCTATACAATTTATTCTTTTGAGATATTTTCTGTAAAATTTCCTTGGCTCAAATTCCTTTGAAACAATTCTTTTCAAAAACGATATTTTGTGATTATATATATTTTTTTCATAGTAATATCTAATTAAAACTAATGTTTTTTTTTTCAAAAAAAGATTTGTATAATTTAGGATCTTCGGCGAAGATTATCCAATGAACGATCTAATAAAAATGAACTAATGAACGGACTCTGTTCTAGATACTTTGTGGAATAATCTAGGTATCTGTGACATGAAGCCATTATTTAGTGTGAAATAATATAATTCTAGCTAATAAATTAATAGATAATAAATTATTGCAAAAATGTGACGTCAAGCTAATGTTCCTTTGATTGTTTATTGTTACTTTTATTATTTTCAAATAAAAAATGAATGAAAGAAAAAAAATAAAATGAGCCACGAATGCAATCATAGGCGCGCGAAGCGCGCGGTCCTTTTTTACTTTATGAAAAAATCGAATTCTAATGAGGTCCTCATAACGCTCAATTTTTTCTTCCATCTGAAAATTCAATCCCGTAATTTCTTTGGAGTAGCGACGTATCAAAAAGTTTATACTCCCAGCATATTCCCTCCTCTCGAAATGAGATGTCCCCGAAAACTCGAGCTGCCAAAGTTGTATCAGAAAGAAGTCTGAAGAAGTATAAACTAGCTGTCCTCTCGAAGAGACCATTCCGTCAATTTTACTTTTCGAGAGGTCGAGTTTTTTCAATTATGCTAATGCCCAGGTCGAATATTTGATCCTAGCAAGCACTCACAAGACCTCTCATCAATTAGGACAAAAGAGGATTGAATAGGGCTAAACGCATATCTTTATACATTGGATGGAAATTCCATTCAATAAATTATGCGCGTTCCTCTTTCATGTGTCTTTATAAATTCGTTGGGAATATAGCAAAAATAATTTACAGTAGTTAATTAATACCAAACATGTGTTAAAGTTTAATAGATATCGGCGGATAAAGCAATTAGAATTTTTTATAAGATTGCGTTGTACATGATTTTTTATTATTTTGAAAAATCAGGAAAAATCAAAAGATTTTTTTTTGCCAATGACATAAATTTGATTCTCTTCCATTTTTAAAAATTGGATAAAGGTTTCAAATTTTAGAAAACCAAGAAAATTCTCCGATTTTTTAGAAACACGAAAAAATTTCATAGAAAAACCTAGCGAATTCGCTAGACAATTCTATAGGATTTCTACTGAACTTTCTGTTAGTTTTTGGCTAATTCTATTAAAATGTTCATATATTTTGATAGATATTCGATTGAAATTCTATCGAAAAAATGAAAAGAATTGGATTTTCGTATACAACTCATTCTATTGAGACATTTTCAATAGAATTTCCTCGGCTCAAAATTTCCAAGTTCTTCATTTGATTTTCTTGGTGAGAAGAAAAAAAAATAAATGCGCGAAAACTGCCCCTAGAAACGTGCCCCCGCTAAAAATCAAGCCAATTCTTTACTCGGACTTTTGAACTCTAAACAGGATTATCGAATCAGTCACCCGAAAACGGTTTCCGCTAGCCTCCAATGGGCACTGAGTATAACAACCCAATACACTTCACCGGTAATTCTATTATCCGAGCTCACACCGGTCATTCACAGGTTTAGCCGGAGCTTATAGCGAGCCATCGTATTCTATAGTAAGGTTTTATGTCGTAGGCATGACTACAAACGCCACTCAATGCCGTTCGTGGAGGGAGCAGATACCATTATTTTCTGTTATTTGTACATTGATTCAGCTGCACAACAATTTTCGTCGCAAAACGATTCGATCATCCGGCTTTCGCGCGTCCGTTTGCATGTCCCAGGGAGCCAGAAAATGCTTTACATGAGCCCTATTTGAATAAAATCAATTGACTTATTCAAATAGCTCATGATAAAACTTTCATTTGACCTCAATCTAGATTTTATTTTCAAAAAAAATTTTTTTTTATGAAAAAATGGTTTGTTCTCCATAATTAAAAAATTTTCCCCGTGACCCTTATTTAGACCCTTAATCTAAACTTTGTGATCCATCATCTGAGCCTCATTATAACCCTCGTGACCCTTATTTTGATCCTCGGTTTTTGACCCCCAAGTTCTTTATTCGGACCCTTACTCTGACCCTTACGGCCTTTATTTTGACCCTCATAACCCTTATTCTGACTCTCGTTCATATCATATAATCAAAATATTTCCATTGCAACAAATATATTGTGTTTATTTATTAAGGGGGCTACGCCCCCTGCTCGCTCCGTTCGTCAACCCCTATGATCCTTATTCTGACCTTTGTGACCCTTAATCTGATCCTCGTGGCCCTCATTCTGACCTTCATTATACCCCTTGTGACCCTTATTTGAACCCTTAATCTGACCTTTGTGATCCTTAATCTGACCCTTATTTAGATCCTTGATCTGACCCTCGTTAGTCCTCGTGACTCGTTTTGACCCTGATGACCCTTAGTTCTGACCCTTTGTTTTTGAGCCCGAAGTCCTTTATTTGGACCCTTACTCTGACCCTTAATCTGATCCTCGTAACACTTATTTAGATCCTCAATCCGACTCTTGTTACCCTTATTTGAGCCCTTAATCCGATCCTTGTAACCCTTAATTGTACCCTCGTGACCCTTATTTGAACCCTTAATCTGACCTTGTGATCCTTACTCTGACCCTCATTTGAATCCTTAATCTGACCCTTATTATAACCCTCGTGACCCTTGTTTTGACCCTGATGACCCTTGGTTTTTGAGCTCGAAGTCCCTTATTTGGACCCTTACTCTGACCCTTGATCTGATCCTCGCAACACTTATTTAAACCCTCAATTTGACCCTTGTAACCCTTAATTCTACCCTCATGACCCCTATTCTGATCCTTGTGGCCCTTATTTTGATCCGCGTAACCTTTATTTTGACCCTCATAGACCTTATTCTGACCCTCATGACCCTTGTGGCCCTTAATTTCGAGTACCAAATTTTTATCACCAGAAGTCAATTTGGATTGTTCTAATATAGAGAGATTCTCAACAAAAATATTGTTGAAAAGCGTAGAAGAATTTCAAAATAAAAATTTTCATTTCATTCAACTGCATCATGTCTCTGAGTACATGTGTACCTGTTATCAATCAAGTTTATCTCGATATTCGGCATAACAGAGATATTCGCGGGAGGTTAGTGCCGAATGCACTTCGGTATGAAATGGACTTGATGCAGGTGTATTTCCATGATTGGGCCCGGTAATGCCCAACTGTTAACGATTTCAAATTGGTCAGCTATATGCAATAGGCTTTCCATCCACGAATGTGCGTGCAATCCTATCGCCAAGCCGGACGTTACGGATAACTGTCTGCCGGTCCTAAATACGCCCGAGTAGTCGAGTACTACCAGCCTCCGGCTGTAATCTTCATCAGGAAATACTGTTCAACCAGCGGATATACGTGAATAATCATGTTCCGTGGACGGTCCTCTATTATCTCGCACTAGAAACTGGGGAAATTTTCGTTTATTGGAAGGAGTACGGTCACTCTATGGAACATGGGCGTTGAGTAAATGAGGAATGTCGATATTATTGGGGAAAAGCCGGAGTTTATGCTTCGGATTTTTTTTATATTTTGGGGCTTATTGGTATTCAATGTGAGGATTTTTTTTATTTTGTGGAATTTATTCACGGGTGCATATATGCATTCATATCGGCTCACATCGCTTTTCCTGTTATTTATTTATTTATTCATCTATTTAACTATTTATTTGTTCATTTATTTATGTATTTATTTAATTGAAAAGTGTACACAGAAGCAGCGGCCGAAGTTAAAAGACCTCGGGACTAAAAAAACACTACAGAAATGTGAGAAAAACTTTGCGCCACGATTTCTCAGCTCCAAGAGGCTGGAAAAACTTGAATGATAGCTTAAAAAATTTGTTCATTCTGTAGAAACCGGATGAAGAGAGTTGAGAGTAATTTGAAGAGGAAAAATAATTTTAAAAAATGTTTGAAAATGCGAGGTGGGGGCGCCGCCATGTTTAAAACCGCTTTCGGCAGAGGGAGGGGGTATCCAATGAAGATGACGGCGCCAACAGGTCGGCCTTCGATTATAATTTCCCGTCACGTTTTACAGGGTGTCTACAGAGAAATTTTTTGGTTCCCGGATTTTTTTCCCCGTGAAAAATCCTCGGAAAAATGTTCCCTGTGGAAAATTTTTCCCGTAAAAAATCTAACGGAAATCTATAACAAAACAAGATTAGCCACATTCTGTAAAAAATTATTAATTTCATCAACTTTAATACTGACAAATTTTTTAGTCTTCCATCATAATAAAAAAAAATTTCAACAGGGAAAAATTCAAGCGAATCTAGAGGAAATTCTATACGGTGAAAATTAGTGAGGGAAAACTTTCCGAAGGAAAAATTCGCCGAGGAAAAATTTCCAGGAATTTTTCAATGGGGAAAAAAAAATCCGGCCATCATTCTTTTCTTTTAACTATCTATGGTTATATAGAATGGGCAAATAGGGAAATTGGGGAAACCGGGAAAACTGACTAGACTTTTTTTTAATTATTCATAACTCAGAAACAAATTGCTCAATTGAGCTCAGTTTAGGCTCATCGCGAAGGGAAAGAATTGTTTTTTGTACTGAAAAAAAAAATTATTAAATTTTATCAACATTTCAACCCCTCATTAACATTTTAAAAAAAAGTCAAAAGCGTCTGTTTTACCCCAACCTCTCCTATGTAAGGTTCTTATTCAAATCTTCATTTGGTGCAAAATTCACCACTAGATAGCAGCATTGAACGATCCCACTTTACCGACGCGTCACCCCCAGCCAGTGAACCAACGCCAGATGGCGACACCGACAAAATCCCCCCTGTCACCCAGTTGGTGGGATTTAAAATTCGAGGGAAACGGTTAGACCAAAGCCACCCGGTGTGTCCGTGCGATGTCAACGGACAGTTTTCAACGGTGTTCGCAAAGTGATTCAGTGAGCTCCTCGCCATACCCCAACACTCCTTATTTTCGGCAATTTTTCCATTGAAATCATGTTATTGAGTAGTACCTCAATTTCATCGGAATAGAGGAAGGATCCCGCGAGTGATTTTCACCAGTGAAATTGGAAAAAATTCCAGGGAATTGGGAGAATCCTCGACGCTCGGGGAAGCGCACCCAGTGACGCTTCTCAGTGTTTTTGCATATTTGTGAATGGAGTAATTTTTTATTGCATTTTGTTGTTTTTTTCGTCTATTTGTAACCATGACCACGTCACTCTCCATTATGGCAACACACGACGAACTCGTGAGGTGCACCAATGTTCTTGTTAATGGTGCTTGTGAAGAAGGTTAGTAGAGCCATAAATTCTCATCCTCACTTTCTGTAAACGTTTTTTCATTTCTGTGGATATGAATGGACATATTTGTTGCTACTATTTTGCACTTCATAAAAAATCTTTTGGGAATTTTTTCTAATTGCCTTTAATTTTGAGAGAATAAGGAAAACGTGAAACCTTAATTGGATTTTTCCTCTTGTTTTATAATTTGAGGCTCAGTTTTTTCCAAATTTTTGACAATATATTTATTGTAGAGCTCAAATACAGAAATAAGAAGACCACCAAGAATTTATAATTAGGATATTTACGAAAGACTTGTTTGAATAGAATAGTTGTTTATGAAGAAGGTTAGTGAGCCACAATTTCTCATCTTCACTTTCTCTAAATATTTTTTCATTTCTGTGGATATAAATGGATATATTTGTTGCTGCTATTTTGATTTTTATAAAAAATTTTTTGGTCATTTTTTCTAATTGCCTTCAATTTCAAGAAATTCAGGGAAACGTGAAATCCGAATTGGATTTTTTACTATCGTTTTATAATTTGAGGCTCAGTTTTTGCAAAATTTTGACGATATATTTATTGTAGAGCTCAAATACAGGAATAATAAGACCATCAAGAATTTATAAATACGATATTTACGAAAGACTTGTTTGAATAGAATAGTTGTTTATGAAGCAGATTAGTAGAGTCACAAATTCTCATTCTCACTATCTCTAAACGTTTTTTCATTTCTGTGGATATGAATGGACATATTTGTTGCTGCTATTTTGCTCTTCATAAAAAATATTTTGAAAAATTTTTCTAATTGCCTTTAATTTTGAGAGAATAAGGGAAAAGTGAATCCTGAATTGGTTTTTTTCCTCTTGTTTTATAATTTGAGGCTCAGTTTTTGCAAAATATTTATGATATATTTATTGTAGAGCTCAAATACAGGAATAAGAAGACCATCAAGAATTTATAATTAGGATATTTACGAAAGACTTGTTTGAATAGAATAGTTGTTTATGAAGCAGATTAGTAGAGTCACAAATTCTCATTCTCACTATCTGTAAACGTTTTTTCATTTCTGTGAATATGAATGGATATATTTATTGCTGCTATTCTGATTTTTATAAAAAATTTTTTGGTCATTGTTTCTAATTGCCTTCAATTTCACGAAATTCAGGAAAACGTGAAATCTGAATTGGATTTTTTCCTCTTGTTTTATTTGAGGCTCAGTTTTTCCAAAATTCTTGATGAGATATTTGTCGTAGAGCTCGAATGCAGAAATAAAAAGACCATCAAGAATTTATAATTAGGATATTTACGAAAGACTTGTTTGAATAGAATAGTTGTTTATGAATGACTGAATACATTTGTTGCTGCTATTTTGTTCTTTAAAAAAAATCTTTTGAAAAATTTTTGCTATTGCCTTCTATTTCGAGAGATTTAGAGAAACGTGAAACCTGAATTCGATTTTTTCCTTTCGTTTTATGATTTGAGGCTCAATTTTTGGAAAAATTTTTGACGAGGTATTTTTTGTACAGCTCGAATACAGGAATAAAAAGGTCATTATATGTTTTTTTCGTGTGCTTTCAATTTCAAGATATTTACGAAAAGCTCATTGACTGAATGGAATGAATTTATTTATCTTGTTTTTATGATTCTGTAATAATGAGAGAAGTTTTTTAAATAAATATAACATTTATCAGCGTATCTACAGGAGATACGCAGATAAATTTTGATAAATACCTTTTTGGTAGAGCGGAAACAGGAATACAAGAGGTCTCGATAAAATTTTCACTATCTGCTTTCCCTTCTCAGATATTCGATAAAAACTGAAGTATGCATTTAATTTATTCGTCTCATTTTGTGGATTCGTGAAAACTTTGACTCAAAATGCATTGACTCATTCAATTTCACATTCAAAATTTAAAACATTACAATAAAAACCACAAAATACTATTTCTTATCATTTTTTAATTCACGGAATAATGAGTCACACCTCTTTTTTTTTTAAATCCTTAGATATGTTTTTTTTCATTCAGGATATTAATCCAGCATTTAATTCACGACATTTAGAAATATCTCAAGTCTGAATTGAATCAATTAATTTCATTCTATGACTTGGAGGTGAATTTTTTATGAATCTCTTCCGTAAATTTAAGAATATTCATGAAAAATGCTCATTAAAAATGATGTAACTCATTCATCTAATTATGTATAAATGAAATATTCCTACCATTTTACAGGAATTTTCAAAAATTTTTAGAATTTCATTAAGTGGAAAATCTAAAACAATTAGTTGAAAAGAAATTGATTCAATTTAAAATAATAAAGTAGGCTATGAATAATATAAAATAGAAAAAAATAAGCAAAATGACCATTCGGAAGCATATTGCTAATTTATTGGCAGAAATAACTATACTATACGCAATACCCGAGCAATTTTCCACTTGTTTCATCTAGAGTTCCTCCAATTCGCAATAAATCAAGAAGAAATGCGACAAAAATGGTTGGCATCAGTTCAAGAGTGCCAACGTCTCCATTCAGCTCTGGAGAAGGCTCACCACGAGTCTGCAGACCTAGACAGAAAGCTCAGCCATGCACGGAGGCTCCTGGACGAGGAGAAACGGCGTCGACGTTTAGCAGAGGACCAACGGAATTCGCTCGTGAGTTATCACATTCTCGGGTAATTAATAATTAGTGGAAAACGAGGCAATGAACGCTGTTTATTAAATTTCTTCAGGAGAGACAGATTGCTCTGGCTCGTGACCTGCTTTTCAATGACGGTGGAAGGAATTTGAACGATGAGACTCGGGAAAAATTGCAGTTCCTTAATAATACGACGTTGAATGGACGACACAGCCATGTCCATTTGAAGGACCTTCAGAATGACAAGTGAGTGGAATTAAATTGATTGAACGGTCCTGTTATTCAGGGGAGGGGGGAACGGATTGTTTCTCTGCGATTGTTTGAGGTGACAATATAAAGATACATTTTTTGGTGAAGACGTCAGTTGCACAAAATTTCTGCTGAAATTTCCCTCTGAAAGCACCTCAAGTTTAATTTTTTGTTGAGGATTTTCGCAGTTTGGAAGAAAACGTCAATTGCAATTTTCGTCTGAAGGCCCTTGTTTTTGGGGTCAATTTCGAAATGAACAAAATGTCCAATTTGACATTTGATTGCGTTCAATGTCTTGAAAATGACTAGACTGAGGAGAAAATTTAAGAAGAATTTGTGTTCGAAATATCTTTAAATAAAAAAAAGTATTCTGAAGTGAATAACCAGTAGATTTTGTAGATTTTTTCTTCACCTCTCACTGAATTTTATTTTCATGGGAGACAATTTAATGCGAAAATATCAAGTTTAAATTTTTGTGGAGGATTGTTTCCAGGTAAAAAAAATATCTGTTAAAATTTTCCTTTACAGGCCTTAGTTTTTATTATTAATTTCGAAATGAAAATGTCTATATTGGCATTTTGTTCACGTTCAATATTTTGGAAATGACTGGATTGAAAAAAAAAATTTAAAAGATTTTGTATTGAGGATGTCTTCAAATAAAAGAAATGTCTTCTGAAATTAATTGATAAGTGGTAGATTTCGTAGATACTTTCTTTACCTCTCACTGAATTTCATTTTAAGGCCATTTAAGGCGAAAATTTTAAGTTGAAATTTTTGTTGAGGATTTTCTCAATTAAAAAAAAATATCTCTTGAAATTTTTTTCTAAAGGCCCTTGTTTTGACGATTAATTTCGAAATAAAAATTTCCAATGTGACATTTTCATCTCGTTGAATATCTTAGTAATGAGTCGATTCAAATTCTTAAATATCCGTTTTTTTTATTTTTAAAAATGAAAAGTGAAAACCAATGAAGAGAAAAAACTCAGAGAATTCATATCGAAAAATTCCTACAGAAAATACCTCCAATCAAATTCCACTGATGGTCCATATAAAATAGTTTCTGCATCAATGACAACCTTTTCCCCCCAGACTAAACACAATAGCGGAGCTGGACTCCACCGGTTCTCTCCTAAGCGACCTCAGCTGTTTCTCAAAATCCGAGGACGACCTGGACGCCTCCGCTCTCCTCAGCCAGAACCACAAGAAGCGAGAGTGGAAAGAGCACCGACCGAGTGGCGAATACTCCACGAAGAAGCGTCGAAGCACTCTCCAAAAAGTAGCTGACCTGAACAATTCAGACCGAATAATAGCTACCACAACAGTAGTAATGCCAAAGGACGGGGCCATAACGGCTTCCTCAGTGATCGAGGCCCTCCCCGCGGATGAGAACATGGACCCCAAGTCCCCTTTGCAGAACTCCCGCAAGCGTCGCAAGAGTTCAGAACGTCCTCGGGCCAAGAAAGACGCGCCTGAGGTGCCCTATCCCAAACCCTCGGCGCCTCTCGCAGAAAACCTGACGTCAGGTCAGACATAAGCAGATTTAAACTATTATTTTATCATTAATTCTATATCTTCATGACATTAAATTGGACATCATTCACTATTTTAGTTAAGGATAATAATTTTCAAGTCATTTTTCATTATTTTAATAATTATTGAATAATTATTAGATGATTCAATCAACAGTATCCTTCTGATAATTTTCATTGCTTTCATAATGAATAATATTTTTAGAATAGTTTTCATTACTTTCCTGTACTGAGAGAAAAAAAAATTCTTAAATAAGTCTTGTTTGAACCAAAAAAATCCCAAGTTAAAAATTGAAAAAAAAAGAATGAAATCTAGTGCTCACCATTTGAAAATTGTCCTGAATTGAGAAATTTTTGTCGTAAAAATAGATTTAGTTATTGCAAAGAATTCTTATTTTCCATACAAGCAAGAAATGTAATCTCTCGCAATGAATTAGAGTTTAATTCATATATTAATTTTTTGAATTTTCGAATTCTTTCAAAAATCCTACTTTGATAATTATTATAATCACTAATATCTTTCTGATCATTTTCATTGCTTTCATAATGAATAACCCGTTTAGAATAATTTTAATTACTGTCATATCTGAAGAAGAAAAATATTCTCAGACAAGTCTTGTTTAAATAAAAAAAATCGCAAGTTAAAAATTTCAAAGCAATCTCCCTCTTGGTCTCAGGGTAATTTAGAATATCAAATACTTCAACAATTATTAATACCCTCAACATAGCACTCTACCCTGATCATACCTTCACAATTTTTTTATAATAACTTGCCCTACCCCAACCGAAATGACAATTTTCCCAATTCCTGCTTCAGGTTCAGAGTCAGAGGGAATCTTCAAGCCGAGTCCGAACATCGGTGGCTACACCTTCAACACAAAGACCCTCCGTGGCCACAATTTCGCCGGAAAATCGGTCCTGAAGCCAGAGACCTGCTCCCCCTGTGGGAAAAGAATACGATTTGGAAGAATAGCCCTCAAATGCAAGGACTGCAGAGCTGTCACCCATGCTGAATGCAAGGACCTGTTGCCGCTGCCATGTGTCCCAGCAGGAAACACTCCGACCCTTCGAGGTGCCACAGGAACGATCGCCGACTACACCCCAATGACAGCCCCAATGGTGCCATCTCTGGTAGTTCACTGCATCAATGAGATAGAACTGCGAGGGATGAGTGAGCAGGGGTTGTACAGAATATCTGGGGGTTCTTCGGACGTGAAATGCCTGAAGGAGAAGTTCCTGAAGGGAAAGGGGGCCCCATGCCTGTCAGACGTGGACATCTCGACGATTTGCTCAACGCTGAAGGACTTCCTGAGGTCCCTGCGAGAGCCTCTGATCACAGTTGGACTTCTGGGAGACTTCGTCCACGCCACTCAAATAGCAGACAAGCAGGACGCCGATGCTGCTCTCTATCAAGCCATCTCCGAGCTTCCACAGCCGAATCGAGACACTCTAGCTTTTTTGATTCTCCATCTGCAGAGAGTATCGAGTAGTCCAGAGTGCAAAATGCCCATCAGCAATCTTGCGAAGGTGTTCGGGCCGACATTGGTGGGGTACAGCAGTCAGGAGCCCACAGCCACTTGCATGCTCAGTGAGACTGAGAATCAGGCCGCCATTGTCGAGAGCCTCCTCAAGATTCCCTCCGACTACTGGGCGAATTTCGTTAATCCTGAGAATGTTAATGAGGTGGGAACACCGAAGATGGGGGAACTGAGGCACACACCGTCGACAGAGTCACTCCTGAAACGTACGACCTCCAGGGGGTTCTTCAATACCCCTCTGGGGTCCAGTCGATCGTTCTTGAGGAAGAATAAGAAGTATTTTGCCACGCCACCTCTTCGGAGTGGCATCTAGAGGGGATGATTGGGGTTTTAATTTAATATATTTGGAGGTAGATTAACTTGGTGGTAACGATTGTACACATTCGTTGATCAGGCTTTGGTTTTTAAGACATGCACTTTAATCAATTCACTGGATTTTTCGTGGAATTAATGTTTAGGCTTAGCACACTGGAGGGAAGTATTGGGGGTGAATTATAGAGACATGTAAATCGTTTGTAAAATGTATTAATGATTCGAGTGGTTACTTAATAAAAACTCTAATTTTTACACAAAAATCATGAAATTAATGAGAATAATAAAAAAATACATTATTTACTCCATTGACACAAAAATACTTGAAATTCTTAACATTTCTTTTTTTTTAATCAAATTTATTCCAATTCAGTTATAGGAGTCAAAGTCTGGTGGTTTGAGGCCTCGGGAAGACTAATCCATTATATTTCCATCGAATTATAATTACATTATCAAACAGGAGTGAATTACCAGGGATAAATCACAGACAAAAGCGTATAATTTGTAAAATGTATTAATAATCCAAGTGGTTACACAACAAAACTCACTTTTCCCCAAGAACCATTGAATCAACAAAAATAAAAAATCCATTATTTACATTTCAGACCAGCTTACTCACATATCCTGCAAAATGTTAAAATTCATTTAACATAATTATCATCAGTTTTGGTACAAGTTTTTTCCTTCATCTCCCAACAAGACTCCCAGAAGAGGCTCAGCCGATTGTCTCCATTCGAGCAAAAGTGCTTGAAATCCTGAATAATTTTCTTATGAAACAATTCATCCCCCGTTGAAGGCGACAGCGACTTCCACTTCCTGCTGATCATATGATTCCACGACCAGAGGAAGCCGATGGGCCTGTCCATGCTGAAATCATTGCTCTTGCCACTGACATGCCTTGTGATGTAGGCCTCATGAGGACTGGGTTGATCAGGATGAACAGGATATCGTTTCTGATTGTTCCTCCTCACGATGTTCGTCCCAGTCCTCTGTCTCGGTCTTGGGCACATGGTGGAAGGCACCAGGATGAACGAGTTACCAGTGAGATGAACATACTGATGATCATTCTCGTTGCTCTCCACTTGACAGGGAACAAACCCAAATCTCTGGAGAATGGCTTCTTGAAACAGGAAGAGCCTCTGGGCATAAGTGTCCTCCCTGAACTCTTCAAAGAGATATCGTTTGTTCGCCATGAGGCACTCGGTGTTCAAGGGAATGAAGATTGGACCCCTCAGAGGGTCGCTTTTGTGGGTGAAGGGAAGGGCCAGCAGGTCACTGGGAATCGGGACCAGTTGTATCCCACACATCTGGGCCTTTCGCTGCCACAGGAGCACTAGGTCTCCCACGATGCTCCCTGATGACGCCACCCACTGCACCACAAGCTCATAAGCATGATCAGCTTTGAATATCGATTGATATCTCAGGTGTCCCCACTCGATCCTACGTAACAGCAAAATCATTTCTCTTCAACATTAACGACTGGCAAATAATTGTTGGTAAATTACATATATTATTTTTATGCATTAGTAGGGCTACGCTCCCTGCTCGCTCGGCTCGCCAACTCCCGTATGACCCACATGATCCTCTGACCCTTGTGACCCTCATTTAGATCCTTCATCTGACCGTCATTATAACCCTCGTGACCCTTATTTTGACCCTGATGACTCTTAATTAGTTGGGTTAACCCCCATGACCTTATTTGGACCCTTACTCTGACCCGTGACCCTTAATCTGGTCCTTGTTACCTTGATTTCCATCCTTACTCTAACACTTGTTATCCTTACTTATACTTTGACCCTTAATCTGATCTTTATTCTTGGACCCTTAATCTGACCCTTGTGACCCTCATTTAGATCCTTAATCTGACCCTCATTATAACCCTCGTGCCCCTTATTTTGACCCTGGTAACCCTTAGTTTCTGACCTTCGGTTTTTAAACCCCATGTACCTTACTTGGACCCTTGTGACCCTTAATAACCCTTGTTAACCCTTACTAACCCTTGTTACCCTTACTTTGACCCTTTATCGGATCCTTATTTTTGGACTCTTAATCTGACCCTTGTTTGAATCCTTAATCTGACTTGTTACCCTTACGTCGACCCTTAATCTGACCTTTGTGACCCTAAATCTGACCCTTGTAACTCGTATTCTGACCCTCACAACCCTTAAGCCCTCGCGATCCTTAATCTGTCCCTTATGTGGACCCTTAATCTGACCCTCGTGACCCTTATTCTGAACCTCATGATCCTTACCTGGGCCCTCGTGGCCCTTATTCTGACCCTCATGGTACTTATTTAGACCCTTGTGACCCTTAATTTTGGAGTCTTCATTCCAAGTTCGAAATTTTCACCACCAGAAGTCGATTTCGATTTTTATAATATAGACAGAAAACAATTAACAATAACCAATTCATTCTTTACACTAATGATTCGTTTTTAGACCTATCTAATCCAAATAATTCGGGCCCACCTGTCACTCTTGTTGTTCAGATCAATGTCCAGGTGTGTGTGCTTGTAGGGAGGTCCTCTCCAGTCCTTATCGTCCACTCCATTGAACTCCAGTTCATCTCGAAGGAACGTTGGGATGTTGCTCTCGTCGATGGTATCACAAGTGTTGATGGGAATGGGAGAGGAAACAGTAGACAAGGATGTTGAGGAGTTTGATGGATTGCACCAGCCCTTGGGCGCCTTCATCTCAATCTCCACCCACTCGTTCTCAAAACTCTGGAGGTCACCCAATGGGGGAGAGTAATCGGGCGCCTTCTGACTCTCTTTATCCTGGACTATGTGGTAGAGGTAGAAACCCAAGATGAAGGGCTTGGAGAAGTCCCCTGAGGCGTGGCAGATCAGTCTCTCGGAGATCATGCTCTGCATTATTTTCATGGCTTTCTTTATGGTGACACCACCCTCTAGGTGATTGTTCAGCCACTGGACTGCATCGGCGCTCACGAACGTTTGGCTGGGGAGCGATGGGTGCTGGGTGAGAAAGCCTACTCCGGTTTGGGAGGACTTCATGGATTCTAGAATCTCGGAGAGGGAGGCTGTACTCTTCAGTTTTGGTACTTCAGTGTTTGCGCTAGGGGGAAAATGAAAGTTTAGAGCACATTTTGGCGTACGAGAAAATTTAATTGAAAAAAAATTGCGAATTCGATAAAAAATTCGATGGGATTTACTATGGACTTCTATTGGAGATTCTATGGGTTTTTGGGAGATTCTATTGAAGAATTCCACAGCCTTACTGCGCGGGTTTTTTTCAGTTGAATATGTTGAATAGAAATTATTCTATAGAGCAAATTAATTGAATTTCTCGATATGAATTCTCTGCGAGTTTCCGACTCTATTTTTCTTTTATTTTATTTTATTTTTCATTGTATTATATTTTTTCTAATATTTTTTATTGTTTTTGGTTATATTTTTTTGTTATTTTATATATTCCTCTTGTCGAGAAATTTTTATTGAAAAAACGCGTAGATTAACATTCTTTCACTTTCTTCAACAAATTCAATTGAATTTATATTGAAACGCTATTGAAATCCTATTGGATTATGAGAAATTTGTGGAGACGGTAAATCTCAGTTCAATTATTCCAAAGAAATCAATTAATTGAATGTTCAGCGTAATTTTGTTCGAAATATTCATGTTTTGGTTGAAAATTCAAGGAAACGAAGGAATTCTCATTTTCCTGGTGCTCAAAAATTTGGAATTTCATTGAATCTTCAGTTTTTTAAATGAAATTCTATTTTTTCCAGATGCATAGAATTTAATGCCGCTCTCCTGAAAATTACTACTATCTACGAAATTGAAATTATCGAAAGTTTTCTCCGAGCAATTGAATGAAAAATTGGAGCGACACTGATGATTAATAAATCTTAATTTCAATATTACTCATTATGGAAATAATTGAACGTTTATAAACAAGTAGGAAAATTGCTTTCGTCACAACGTAGTCAATATAGTATTGCTAATAAATTAGCATTTTTACGACGCATTTTAAATTGAATTCAATGATTTATTGACATTCAACATTGTTCCAACATTGGCCGCCAACATTGCCCCAATATTGCCTCAACATTGGCAGCCAACGTTGCCCCAACATTGATTAAATTTTTTTTTTTCAACAACAGATAATGCAATCAATCCCGTGACTGAACTCTATCAAAATAGCATTGAGAAGAATATTTTAAATCAATTAAATTAATTTAAACAATTATTTTTTCAGCTATCGTCGAAAAACTATCGATCAAACGATAAAGAATAAATCTGAATTACTTCTCTTCGTTAGTCTCGAAGTGATCCTGCTGCGGCTGTTCCAAGGCAAGAGGCAACACAGCTTCACTCGCTGGAGACACTCTCCCCCGATCCATGACTTTCGATCCAGATCTAATATTCACGTGAGCACAGTAACGAAAATCATCAGTAAATATTCCAATGCGTCAGTTCATGGTAATTAACGAATGACAAATCGAGAGGATGAAAGCGTAAACTTGTGTAGTTACAAACATAATCTATAACATTAGAAATAGGAACAGAAAATAGTGCAGAGGGAGGACCAACCTGTTTGGCACGAAGCGAGGAGTGTCGAGTAAAGTACGGGCAGCTGCAGTACTCACTACATGCTTATCCTACACAGAAAATCCCGTCACTCACTCACTTATCACCAAAACTATGAAATCAACAGTCTAGATTAATCGATGCATTAATAACATGGCAACTCCAACAAATGAGACGACAAGTTTCATCATCTAGAGTTAATAAAACATAATTAGGAGAGTGAAATTAACGTGTGAGAAAATTCAGTGGATTGTCCAGGGACATTCTGATCTCTATTCAGTATTTTGCAGACTTTCCGATCAATTTTTTCGACGGAGAATAGATTTCTTTGCATTCTTCAACTAGAATTCGAATTTTTGCATTCTACGACTTTTTGGGATTCTTTACATTTTCTTCTTTAGAAATTATTCAGCATGAGTTTTATTATTGCAACTATGAAAATATTCAATAATGATAAGACAAATGTAGCACTTTGTTTTGAAAATTCCATTGAATTTGTATTAGAATTCAATGAAAATTCTTTGCTATTCTGTTGAAATCTTGTTGATTAATTCTGTTAGTTTTTTGTGTCAATTCTATTGAAAATTATGTAATTTTGTCGTGTTATTTTTTAAAGAGATATTTGATAGCAAAAAGTTAAGATTTGATTTTTTTGGGGGGAATTTTTGGGCATAAATTTGAATATTCAATGTTTAAATTTTGATATTAAATGAAAAAAAAACAATAGATTCAATTTTTCTGTAGAAATTTTTCAACATATTTTCCAAATTTTTCAGTTTTATTTATTCATTTATTTTTTGTTTCTTATTACAAAATTTTAAAAAAAACTTGCAAAATTCATTACAAAATTCGCAAAAACCATTTCCAAATGTTTTCGTTTTATTTATTTATTCATGTTTGTTTTCTTACTACAAAATCCAAAAAAATCGTGAGAGAATGGGTTATTCCACAAAAATTGAACACTTACAAATTTATTTCTGTCAAATATCTATCAGGAAATCTGACAACAAAAACCAAATACAATTACTAACAGATTTCTAAACAAACAAAAACAAGAAAAATCAATAGCCTTTCCAACTGAATTAATCTCGAAAGCCCAGGCATTCCATTAACCATCTCCACACACGAAAAATCTAAAAAAAAAATCAATTAGACACAAGAATAATTAGCACAGATCCAGGGTCCAGAAGGAGGTGACAAAAGCCCAGTCATTCTATTGAACAAAGCATACAATATTGAATTAACACAGGACCTCAAAACCATTTAGTCAGCTGAAATGGTAGATAAAGGGTCAAATGATAAACAAAATGCAAGAAGCTGTTGATGTTATCAATCAGCCGAGGGTAATTGGGTCAAACCTTGGTCTCGGCTTTTCCGGCAGTCTGTTGCTTCCCAGACGCTCCCTAAACGGCGAACTTCCGACTAGACTTGTCTGCAATGTTGGAATAATAAAAAAAAAGAAAAATATTTGAGGTAAATCATCAATTGTATTGCAGTCTTCGTGAGCTTCTGATTCAAAGAGAAATCGAATTCAGAGACGAAGTGTACAGTTAGGGCTGCGAAATGGGTGAAAGCTCAATTAATATCGAGATAACGACAAAAACAAATATAAATAAAGGTTTACTCGTACACTGAGAGAAATACAAACACGGTGTCAAACAAGTCTTGTTTGGGCCAACAAAATGGCTAGTTGAAAATTGCCAAAAAAGAATTTGTTTGGTTCGAATTTGAAAGTCTCCAACATGAATAATTGTTCTGCTTTCGACAGCAACGAAATATTTGGCTCAAGAGGCGGATAATTCACACTAGACAGTGCTTTTTCAGGATGAAAATATCTCATATAGAGGAAAATTTATCAACAAATATTTTATCCCTAAGTTACAAGATTGCTATCATATCATTATTATTGTTTTATTTAAGGGTTCATTTCTTGTCTGTGATTATCAGACAGCTGAAACGAAAAACTACTATCTCTTGTTTCGCATAAAACTAAGATTTTTCGGGAGCAAAATACGTATGGAAGTATCAAATAATGAAGGAGTAATGCTAGAAATGACATTTCTTGCGTGTACGGAGAATGCAATTTTTTTTGAACTACTAAATCTATTTTTGCGACAAAAATTTCTCATTCCAGCGCACTCTCTGCATGTTTGGCACAACAAAATCCTTGTTTGATAATTTTCAAAAAACTATTTTCTTGGCACAAGTAAGACTTGTTTGATAATCGAAAGCTAATTTCAAATAGACAGATGCAGACATTCACAGTAAATTCAAGCAACAATTAATACCGTATTATATCTGTGTTCAAGCGTATTTGCTGGTACTATGGGTTTAATAAGCGATCTACGATTATTCTGGGTGTTGAGACACATTTGAAAGTTGAGAAAATTGCGCATTTGTTATCTTGTGTCGTTTCCGAGATATTCTGATCGTCTGGGGATGAGATTCGATCGAGAGAAGCTTGAAATGAAGACGCATTTTGCATGAAAAAATGTCGATAGAATTTTCTGTGGAGAACACGTGTAAAAAAATTTAATAGAAATCAATGGGGAAATTGCATGAATTATTTTCAATTTTCTAATCTCAAGTTTGGGACCTGAATAATTTATTTTTCGTTAACTAACGTTTGAAATATTGCTCATTAATTAATAATTAATTCTTAAAAGTTGAAGATTTCAAACGCTTTGAAATCGCTAGTGACGTCACACAATTGTTTTGTTTTCTTGATGAAGAGGCAGGAAAAATAGAATGAAAAAAACTTGGAAAATTTAAACCGAAGAAATTCTATAGAAAATATCTCAATAGAGTAAGCTGAATAGAAAAATCGAATTCTGTTGACTTTTTCTGTAAAATATTTTCTATTGGATATTCTATTGGATATTCTGTAGAAAGTTCAATATAAATCCAATAGAAGTTTTGTCTATCAAATTTTTTCGTGCATGAATTCACGTATTTCTTACAGAAAACGTGAATTCATTATGGTGGGGAAGTTTATAATGAAGAAAATGGGATATTTTTCTTGAACCGAATTGAAATTTTTTAGAATAGTCTGATGTGAGGAATTCTTTCAAGAGACTCGTTTATTTCTTTCTACTCTCACAGGATAATTCCACAGACATTTTTCATACACGTTCAACACTGATTGAGAACTTCCGCCTGAATTTTTCGATGAGAGATTTTATGAATTCCAGTGAAGTCTTGAATTCTCAGGTTTTTTATGAAAATTAGCAACAAACAAAGGCATATTTTTTAAAATATAAACCACTGGCTTCTTTTGATAAGTACTGATTCAAATACTGATTCTTTCACTTCAATTTATTAATGTAGAAATGATTGAAAATATGAATTGTAAACCACTAAATATTCATGTCAAGTTGTTAAGAGAACATGAAATATTTCTGTAATTTCATGAAATTGTCATGATGTTTAGCATGCAATACTCATTTTTTCATGTGAATTAACAGAATTCCACTGTAATATTATACGACTGGCAGGGAACTTCATTTTTTCGTTCCTTATATGTGGAAAATTCGACTTTGCTCTCGTCTCAATGGGAACAAAGTGGCCGTTTATTCCCTAGAAATCATTATTCTCATCTGTCAATCGTTTTTCATGTCACCCGTTGCTCTGTATCATTTTTTCAAGATGATAATGAATCCAAACTTCTATTTTCGCAGAGTAAAAATCAAAACCTTTGGATGGAGCTGTCCGGATCGTTTAAAATTTAAGAAATTTCCACAAATGGGAGAAAATAATGAAAAATACAGAAAAAAATTGCAGATTTCAATTTTATGGAACGAATCAACGATTTTTCGTTATTCAAGGATCTGATTTTTTATTGAACAGAAATCACACAAATGGAAATAATCCAAGAATTAACCTAGTGAAATCGCTAAAACTTTTTTCAAAATTCTATTGGAAATCCTATTTGTATTTTACAGATTTCTTGGAGAATCCAGAAGATTTTCTGGGAGTTTTTTTCTACAAATAAATCGGAAATATGTAGTTAAAAGTGATCAATCGATTTTCATTTTTCTATTCAATCTATTTGATTAAACAGAAAAATCAAAATCAGCGATTGAGCTTTTTTCTATAGAAATGTTTTGATTTTTTAAATCAAATATTTCTAAAACTAAGTAATTCCCCATTAGATTTCCAATAAAATTCCGACGAAATTTGAACAAAATTTTTACCGAGTGCTCTTGGATTTTCTACTGAATGTTTTTAATAAATGAATAATCACTTCTGCCCCATAAAATAAATATTGAATATTAAATAAATACCAAAAAATATTAAATAAAATGAAAAATGAATAAATATTGAATAAATAAATTAATATTAAATAAATATTCAATATCTCAAACAAGGATTTAACATGAATATAAACCCTAAAACCGGAAATTCCCAGACGTTCAAAATTCCAAGAGCCTTCATCGAAAATTCATTTGACAATTCTCACCAGCGAGAGATAAAAAATCATAGTAAATAATTTTTATCATTTTTCGAAGTCGGGAGGGCAATTATACCTGGTTAGTGAGGAATATCAGGCTCGTGCTGTGCCTTCGCCTGGTCAGGTGTGAGGCAGGATCTCTCGGAGGTAATCCGACCAGAGCCGTGGGGCTCTGAAACATACCATGCTCGACACCTATCCCAACTAATGTACGGTTCACCTTAATTAATCGAGAGAATACTGTTCTAAAAATTAATTCTCTTTTCCCTGTTTCACTGTTAATCTATGTCTGCTCATTCTGTTGCCAATGTGCTATGAAAATTAAGTAATTGTGATTATTATTGTAGTTAACAGCCACTAGCCAATATAATTACTTACATTAATGTTTATACATCAATAAAAACTATCAAGAGTCTTGAAATTACTGAGAAAGGTGCTGTACAAAACTGAATACGTTGAATAATTGAACATGGAACGAATAAAAAAACCATTGCACACAGCTAAAATTAAATTGACAGCATTTTCTTCATGCAGAGTAAATTCTTTGGGATGCATAACTAAAAATGTAAATAATAATCAACGAAGTTACGGGTTATTGAATTAGTGGCATACGATATCGTACATCGTGCGGAAAAATAACTAAAAAACTTTGATTATGGCATTAATAGTTTGGAATCAATTCGTTGATTCAGAGAATCATAGGTGAGGGGAGATTTTTTAGGTGAGGGAGAATTTTTGAGAGATTTTTACCCAATTTTTGTTGGGATTCGGTCGACGAATTTTGTTGAGCCAGCCTTCGATGAAACGCAGAAAACCGTCGGTCAGTTGGCTCTGCTCGGTGGCACTGAGGGAGTTGTAGATATCACATCTTAGGGATCCTTCAAGGATCTTTTTGGTTGCGGTGTTGTGGAGGGGTAGCATAAACATCCTAAATCTCCAGTATTTGAGGGCCTAAAAATCGTTGAACAACAATTTTAGGTTTTATTTTATAATTTGAGTATAATTTTTTGCCTCGAGTCGTCATTTTTTGGTGCTCTATCAACTCATTATGGTCTAAAAAATTAAAAAATTCAATTCGCAAAAAACAAAAAATAGAATTTTAATAAAATTTAAAAGAAACGCTAGATTTTTCTAGTAAATGTTTCCATTTAATTGAAGGCATTGTAATTATTCATATTTAAATCGTCATTTTTTGGTGTTCTATCAACTCATTATTAGACATTAAAAAATGCAATTCGCAAAGACAAATAGACTTTTGATGAAACTTCAACAAAACGTTGGATGTTTCTATTAAATGTTTCCATTCGTATTATTTTAAAAATGTTCTATTGAAATTCCATTAAAAAAAATATTTTTACGTGATGATAGAGTATTACCTCGACTAGAGAAAAATCAAAATGAAAAATTCAATTCGCAAAAACAAATAGACTTTTGATGAAACTTCAACAAAACGTTAGATTTTTCTATTAAATGTTTCCATTCGCATTGTTTTAAGCATATTCTATTGAAATTCCATCTCAAAAATTATTTTTACGTAATGATAAAGTATTACCTCGACTAGAGCAAAATCGGTATCTCCTCTAGTGCAAATGTAGTGGTCCAGATAATTCCAGTTGTAATTCTCGAGTTTTTCTGTTGTGAACGATACCCACGACACCTCGTACGTCTCATGATGTGGCGCGTGAAACCGATATCGGTAGTGAATGTTGAAGGGTGGATATGGATGTCTGAGAACATCAACAAATTTATCGATAATGAAACACCGAATCATTTAGAATGAAAACATGAAAAAATTTACTAGAAAACTGTAGCATTTTCTCTAAAAAAAATTCAATTGAATTTCTATAGAAAATTTATAACATTTACATTGGAGTGTTATTTAAAAATTTAGTGGAATATTAATCAAAATTCCAATTCGTTTTTTACGTCAGTTCTATTGAAAATTATATATTTTTGTCGCACATTTTTTAATCGATATTCTTTTTATGAAGAAAAGTTCCTAGATATTGATTTTTGTAATTTATTCTGTTGGGATTTTTTTTTCAGTAGAAATTTTGATGAACTTTATGAGAAATTAATGAAAAATAAATTGAAGTACAGCAGAAAACATGAAATGAAGCGTCACTAATTTTCTGTAGAAAAATAAAAATCTATTCAGTTTTTAACAGAATTAATAGAAAATACCAATAGAATTATTTTATAGAAGTCAAATAGAACTTCAATAGAATTCTTAGAAATTAAATAGAATTTCTTAGAGAAAGCGCGAGGTTTATCTATCAGATTTTTTCATTCCACGTGGTTTCTCACCTTGGTCGGTATCTCGTGACAGTGATGCAATTACCGTACAACGATATTTTGTGAAATATTCTTCCGATACTAAGCAGGTACTCCTCCTTCGGTTCTGACTCAGGCTGTCTTCCTCGAATTACAGAACTCACTCCATTCCCAGATGTAGTTGATTTATTCTTGTCGTTTGTTGATAATAAAATCAATTGAAAACCCTAATGACGAACAAGAATTTTATTAGAAGTTGATAAATATATATTTATCAACACATGACAATAAGAAGTTGATAAATATATACTTATCAACTTCTTATTGTCATGTGTCGATCGTAAAATTTTATTATGAATTTATAAATGTATATTCATCAACTTCTCAAGGTTCAAATTTTCCAAGTTTTTTTCATTTTATTTGTTTGTTCCTCTCATCAATAAAACCAAACAAAAACACTTGGAAATTTTAAGCCGCGGAAATTCTACAGAAAATGTCTTAACAGAATAAGTTGTACAGAAGAATCGAATTCTATTGACTTTTTCGAGAGAATATTTTCTATTGAACATTTCAACAGAAATCCAATAGAATAGTCTAGCGAATTCGCTAGGTTTTACTATGAAATTTTTTCGTACAGATTAACTTCGGAAAAAAGCAGTACCCGAAATTTTTCGTAATTTCGTGGAATTTATTTGCGAATAGACTTGAAAAACTGATTTAAAAATAGAGGAGCTTTGTTAAAATCCTTATGAAAATAAATAAAATTAGAAATTCCAGATCATCGTAACGGCCATAATTGATCCATCAATTACCTGAGCCAATCTCTGCGAAACTAACTCTCGAAAAACCTCAGCAGTAGTCAAAGGTTTCTTATAAATAGCTCGTTGCTGTGCAAAATCCGCATTAACATCATCAGGCAGCAGATTGTAATCCGAAACGACGTAATCGTTCTGCAGACTCCTCTTATCGGGGAAGTAATCAGTGGTGATGGGTAAACACGCTGGAATGGTCAGCGATTTCCAGTCGACCCCTGAAATACCCCAGCCCCTCGATATTAGCCCCACTTCGATTTCACGAGGTATCGATGAAGAAATCAAGTTCTACTCAAGCGATAGAATCCCTCTGTGCTGGTGAGTGACTACTCTACACTGAGAGAATAACAAAATATGTTCTCAAACAAGTCTAGCTTAAACCGAAGAAATCGTGTGTTAAAAGAGACCAAAAAATAAATTGTTTCATTTAGTTTTTTTACGAGTCGATTTCGACTATTGGCCAGTTTTCAATGAATATTTCGGAATCTAAGGGAGATAGCAAAATTTTTATTAGAACCTTTTTTGCAGCCCGCAATCCGCTCTACAAAAAAGGTTATTAGGGAAATTTTGTTATCTCTCTTAGATTCGGAGATATTTCTTAAAAACTCAGCTGAAACCTAAATCGACTTAAACCATTTCACCGTTTTAGGACTGGTAGAATGGTATTGAATAGCGAATGGGTGCTAGAAATAAGATTTCATGATTCGATAGAAAATAACAATTTTATTAAACAACTAAACCTATTTTTGCGACAAAAATTATTACCCTTGGCAATTTTTTATTTTTTAACTTCAACAATTTCTTTGTTTACTTGTCCTTTTGCGATTTTTTGGTTCAAACAAGACCCGTTTAATGACATGTGCTTCTTTTCTCTCAGTGTACTAAACTAGAGAACGTAATATCCCAGAGATCGTGGACAGGTAGTTAAATAAATTTATTGAAACATGAGGATGAATAAAATTGACATAGTGAGCAGATACGAATGCACAGACTGAGGATGATTTCTAAGCGGAGTAAGGGACATGTACAGCATGAGGAGAAATGTGCCAACGAGACATGCATGGATGAATCGAGGCAGTATGGTCATAATCACGTTGTGAAGTTTGAGTGAAAAATATTTTGTTCCAATGAAAAATATCGTCAAGAGGCCTTGAAAGTAAAACAAGAACGTGCAACAATTACTATACTCATTTAATAAAAAATGCAATTGTCCACTTGTTTTTTACGTAAAGAAGAAATTGAAAGAAAATTTCCCATATTATAAATACAGTCAAGGCTTTATGTAAGACACCTTAGGGACTGTAGGAGAGTGGAATTCCGGGAATCCGCATAGTCCCACTACGCGCGCTTATAGAGAGGAGAAAAATAGGGATCAGCGGTTTGAAATAAGATACCTCGCTCGTTGCGCCCGAATTCTGTGGAATATTCATTTTTACTGAATGAATATTGATAACTAATCAATTTATACGAGTTTAATGTTTTGAATGCGTATAGCCCGCGTTCCCTTTTCTCTCTAAACATAACTCCGCGTGATAGAATGGCAGTTGATGTTGGGGGATTGTTGGGGGACTTGAGAATAATCATTTCTGGACAGCTGAAGTACAAATTATTGAAAGTACGTAAATTAATTGAATTTTAATTAGGCTTTATTCTATTAAGATAATTCTGCGTCATCATTTTGATAATTATAGCGTCGAAGAAAAGAGGTGACCCTTGGGATCGTTTAACCCTTCTGATTACTTCACTTGACTCTCGCGTTTGAACTCTTGACCCTTAAGGTCATTTGACCCTTATGATCACTTCGTTCGCCCCTCACGTTTGACCCTCAACTCTGTTTGATCCTTATAATCACTCTTTTCCCGTTGAAAAATTATCGAGGCCATAGGCATCTTATAAGAGGCCCACGGAACTAAACATTCGGGAGGCGATAAAAGTGCCGAGAGTGGGGGTTGGTCTCGAGCGCTCGGAGCTCGAGGTATCTTATAGAGAGGTATCTTGTATGAAGCCTCGACTGTGCTAGAATTTTTTCTCATTCGCGAGACGTATTTCATCGACTGTCTCGTGACCATACTTCCAACATCGAACAGATACACAGGGACTACGACAGAATCTCTACAACTACTGAATTCTACTCTGGTGTTCCTCTACACCATAACCGAATAACCAGCCCCGAATAATGCATACCGCTAACCTATGATCGCTGTGTAAATTTGTCATCATAGGCGCACATCAACACATCATGATGTCCAGTGTTGCGTTCCGACGGAACGTATGATTGCATGGAAATAAATTTGATCACGATTATTCAACGGACTTCTGGAAAATTTGTCGAATTAATGATGAAGAGATTTGGAAGGCTGTCGAGGGTATGTGGTGCAGCAATCGGTGCCTCATTTCGATTGTTCCTTTTCGTTCGGTTCAGGTTTATTTGGGATACGCTGGAATGCCTGATAAATGATATCTATTCAATGATTCTCTGTTTTTTGTCGATTTTGGGGAGTCAAACCTTGAATACTGATGGAAAATGTGGAGGCATTTTTAGATTTTTTTAATTAAATACGGTTTGGAAACTTCTGCCTGAAATTTTCATTTAACATGAGTTTTCAACGAGGAATTGGTAATTCTTAGCGATTTCGAATTCTATGAGCAATTATGGAAAATTAGTTTATTTTATGTTTCTGTCCTTTTCATCAAGAAAATCAAATTTTAAAAACCTGGAAAATTTGAGCCGAGAAAATTCTATAGAAAATATCTTAATAGATTAAGTTGTATAGAAAAATCAAATTTCATTAATTCTTTCTATATTTTTATTTTCTATAAAAAAATGCGCGGAAAAGCTGTAGAATTTTGAGAGAATAGGAAAAACTAATAACATTTTCTAGATCTGACTGTAAAATTTTTTCGTGCCTTCAACTTTTCCAATGATTCTAATAAACTTAATTCACTCACGAAAGAATTTAATAAAAAAACCTTGGGATTTTGCTAGACAATTTTATTGGATTTTTATTGAACTTTCTATTAGTTTCTGGCCGATTCTACTGAAATGTTCAATAGAAAATATTCTATAAAAATATTTTTCATTCTATTTTCCTTTCTTTTTCATAAAAAAAATCAAACAAAAAACCTGGAAAATTTGAGCCGAGGAAATTCTACAGAAAATATCTGAATAGAATAATTTGTATAGAAAAATCTAATTCTATTGAGTTTATCTATAGAATGTTCCACGAAAATCGGCCAAAAACTAATAAAAAGGTCAATAGAAATCCAGCAGAATTATCCAACGAATTCGCTAAATTTTTCTCTTCAATTTGTTCGTGTTCATTAAAAACAGCCCCTAATTTCCAACAATCAAAAAATGCGCAAGAATTCAGATTCCTCTTTCCATAACAACTTCCTCCCCAAAAAATCCACAAAAAACAAGAGACCATTCCATCGAATATCTCAATCCATGATAATTATCGTAAAGTGGCATGATTGATCCATGCACATGTAAACGCAACATCTGCTCAGGATGACAACGATATGATGGCTTTCTCTCTCTCTCTCTCATACCCTGCAGCAGACTCACCGATCACGACAAGTAATCATGAATAATCTCACTTCGGCTGAATGACACAACGCATGATCTTGCATTCGATGATTTGCAAAAACATAAAGACGATTGTTATCATTTCGAACCTGTGGTGAGCGCTGGAGTCCACTCTTGTTCACCAGTGGCACCCCACAATAGTGTCAAACTCTTATTAACGGCTGGCAAACCGCTCTGGCCATTTTTATCGGCTGCCCGTTGATTTTTTCCTTTAGCATCTGTTAATTAACTTTATAACCGCTGCATTTGTCTCCCGATAGCGGGACGGGGGGTGGGTGTGGGGAGTATTTAGAGATACTTACGGTCTTGGAATCCTATTTGAGAGGCTGAACGCGAAATGCTACCGTGGATGGCGAGGGATGAGGAGGTGAGAGCGTACTCCACGGGGGATGAACTCACGGCTGAACTCGTGTCGGTTGGCTTGTCTGAGCGAGCTTGCGCCGGGATCGCCTGGTAGTGGTGCTGTTGAATGAGAACACCTGTTGGTCCTGGAAAACACGAGGACGAAATTGTTTAGAGATTGAGATTCAGAATGAGTTGAGAAAAGTGGAAATTACAAATATCTGATTCGCTGTGGCAAATTATCTATTAGCTGTCATTTTCCATGGTGAATAACAAAAAAACACGAACTCCTCATGGGAAGTGACAGCTAGGTATCTCAATTTTCAAAACAGTGGTATGTAGTCATCTACCATTTTTATGTGATAAAAGTGTGATTAAAAAATTCTCCAAAATATTACAACTTTTTTCAAAGAGCCTTTTCCGTAATAAATGTCTCTGTGCAGTGTGGGAAAAGATTTACGAAATCAGTCTTCCCCTGCATGATATTGGGTGACAGGCCGCCATTTGTCACCGTAAATAAGATAAATTTTTCAATTTCTTGTCATTCAACTTAGTCTGAATATAAATTAAAAATGCTCTTTGAAAAAATTAAGAATTTCTTCTACTTTTTTTTGATTATTCATTCATAATTTTTCAAAACTTCTGCATGATGCAGAACTCAATTGACAATTTCAGATGACGAAAGATGAAAAAAAAAACATCGAAATAACGTTCAAAAGATAGTACACCCGAGCCTTAATAGAAATTTAAAAAATCAGTTATATCTGCGAACAAATATCTAAATAGAAAACCCCCATTCAGAATCAAAAATAAAAATTTATCAATTTGTTCCATTCAATCCCAAAAATAAATGTCCCCCAAAAACCAAAGACAATTGTGTCCTCACCCTTAGGAAAAATATGAGTCCACCTCCTCCTATTGCTCGTCAACTTGATAGTAACATGTGAAGGATCGAAGGGGTTGATGAGGGCCCTTCCAGGCCTGTGCAAGCTCGTCGGAGGTATAACCGAGTTATTGGGGCTGCCAGCACTCCCCACGACAGGCCTGAAAGGTGGCGAGATCTCCGAGTCCCCGAACTCACTCTTCATGGAGCTCTTGACCCCCGTGGCCTCCCCATTCGCCTCCCTGGGCTCGTCACTCCTGTAAGGAATGGAGATGGCAGCACTCCTTGTGGTCGCTGGCAGATGCACTTCACTCGTTGGATGATGAATGTCAGGATCAGACATCTTCCTCTTCAGCAGCTTGAGCAGATGACCATTATTATGGGTCTCGATGCAGGTGACACTCGTCTTCTTCATCCTCGTGGAGACCTTGGAGGTGTGAATCGTGGGTAATTGAAACACTTGTGCGTCGTAGGCGTCATAATCGAAGAGAGTATTGTGCAGGCACTCCCTGGGGTCTTCCTGGATGAGCTTTCCCTTGCAGATCATCTTGCCATTCTCCACAGGCTGTTTGAAAACCTTCTGCGGTAGTTTAATTCTCGGAATGAATGTTGAATACGGAATCTTTTTGTTGGTGGAGTAAAAACTGAGATTGATCCAGTGGGGCATGCTGTAGTCGTCAGGAACCTTGACGGAAGTGTCCTTGTTGTGGAATTTTAGGAGAGGCACTGCGTGGAGGGGCTGCTCGCCCACGCACACCAGGTCACTGCCCACTCCATTATCGATGATCCTTTGCTTGGTGACGTTCGTCAGCTCGCGATCGACCTTAGGGTGGAAGGAATTTGGAATTGATAAAAGAGTGGTTGAAAAAGAGAATCCGATAGATAATTACATTAGATTACATTAGATTTTGGTTCAAAATTTCTGAGAGAAGCTATTTTAATGAAGAAATGAGGAGAATTTCATGTTTTTGTACATTTTTTTTTATTGAGACATTCTCTGTGGAAATTTCTCAAAGTGAATTCTCCAAGTTTTTTCGACTATATTTCTTTCCTCTTTTCAATTTCGTTGAATAACCTAGCGAATTGGACAAAACATTAAAAAATCCATGAAATTCTATTGGATTTTTATTGAAGTTTTATTTTCTATCGAATTTACTAAATTTTTCTACGATACTGGTTTCGTACGTGAGGATATAATAAATCGCCTCAATCAATGAATTAATGAATTAATAAATTAATGAATCAATGAATTATTAAATTAATAAATTAATGAATCAATGAATTAACGAATTAATGAATCAATGAATTGATGACTCAATGAATGAATGAATGAATAAATTAATCAATCAATCAAACCTCGAAAACCCCCACCCCAGGGGTGATGACCACTGAGAGCTGCCCAGTTCTATCGAAACTCCTGTCCAAGTAGTGCTTCTCAAAAACATTAAGCGACATATTAAGGACCTCTAGGAAGTTCCCCTGAGCTGCCGTAGAGTTCGTGGCCTCTGGGACCAGGACTCCCTCCTTCTGATGGTACTCAAGAACAATTTTTTGATAGTCAGTGAACAACTTGCGCAGCTGCACCAGAACGTTGCTCCAGTCCTCGTACCTCTCATTCTGCACAGCAACTCTGTAGAAGTCCTCGTAGAAACGACCCCTGTAGTCCTGCTGGAGGCACTTCCTCATGTCATTCGGGAACTCCTCTAAGGTGTTGGCGTTGTAGAAGGTCCTCGAGAAGAGGACTATTGTCACCTGCAATAATATTTCATTTTAATCCTCTCACCCTTCAAATTTTCTTCAAATAAACGAGATAAATGCGAAGAAAAAATTCATTTAAAAAACCTAGTAATTAGCTAGGATATTCTGTTGAATATCTGTTGATTTTTCTATACAACTTATTATTTTATTTTATTTTTATTTCATTTTCATTTTTTTAAAATTATTTTATTTTTAATTTTTGAAGTCTTTTTGTTTGATTTTTTGATAAAAAAAAAGAATAGTGGACAACAACTTGGAAAGTACATGTCGAGGAATTTCTACGGAAAAAGTATAGAAAAATCAAGTTTAACTGATTTTTACTGTAAAAATAATTTCTATTGGATATTTTCTATTAAAAAATGGTGTGAAGCTGTGGAATTTTTGAATAGAAATTCATCAGAATCTTTCCGTGCATGTATTGTTGAAATAAAAGACAACTGATTTTTACTTGCGAATGCAAATTTTGTAATCGGACAATTTTTCGATTCTCCAATTTTGCTTCTGTATTTATTTATTGCCAATCTCCTCCCATTAAATTCTCATTAAATCTGTGGAGTTTTTGAATATCATTATTTCTCACAATTTACATCAAATTTTCGTAAAGAGTTTGACAGAAACTAAATATAATTGTCATCTTAATTTTATGTAATTTAATTTCCTCTCATGAAATATCACCATTAAAGTAGAGCAAGTAGCAAAAAATTGTAGAAAACTAGATTCGGAATTGTAATTTTTTTCTCAATTGAATTATCGTTTCGATTTTTCAAAGAAGAAATGTTCAAAAATCAAAATTTAACCCAGTGTCTTATGTGAAAATCGACTTTTCCATTATAATCAACGATTAAAATCTGAATTTTTTTTCATTAGATGTGAAAAACTCAAGAATTTTTTTTGACACCTCATAAAAAATAATCCACCGTTTTGCAAACAAATTTTATTATTTACTTATAACAGGGGAATGTTTAAAAAAATATCAATATTTTGCGAAATTTAATTTAGATAATACTGACTGGGTATGAATTATTTCAAATTTTTTCCATGCAATTTATTTGGAAAATTAAAAAACTGAAACTATCCAAAGGTACAGCGTAGCCCGGCCGAAGGGTAAAGCTACTTTAAATCTACTGCTCATACACACCTCAGGATTGCTGCCGTTTTTCTTCCACTTTTGAAAGAGATCAGCCAGAAATCCGTTGACAGCTTTTTCGAAGTAGAGATCTCCATGAATGTCAAAGTCCCACATCTCACAGCTCATCTGAATGAAGAGGTAGACCATGCTTGTGGAAGACCTGAAGACGACTTTGGTGTCATCAGTGATGACTCCACAGGCCACTCTGTCCCCCTGGGACCACATCTCGTAGACTTGACATCTGATGCTGGACTGACAGAACTCGATCTTCTTGTTCATGTAGACGCAGGTGTTGACGAGGGAGTTTTTGAGACGCCACATCTCACTTCTACCCATGTACTGGTCCTTGAAGGTGAGCTCTATCGAGTCCAGGGCGACGTCGTCCGGGTTCACTATGTTCATGTAGACGTCCGCGAAGGTGCGGAGTTGGAACATTGTCGCCACGTTGTTCTCAACACTGATCGTCTCTCTACCTGGATTTATTTATTAAACTAGATGAGTCCATGCATGGGGCTCAATGTATGTCAATTGTACTGAATAGTGTTAAATTAGATTTTTGAAGTTAATATCAAGTTTCAGGAATGTATTGTATTTTTTTATATATAATACATCCAGTGTTACGTTTTTTGAAGCCAATCTATTCGGCGTATTGTGTCATTAGATTTTTTATGAATGATGATAGCATACATTAACGATATTACGATAATGCTATGTTATATTATATTCTATATTATACTATATTATATTATATAAACTATGTGTAATATACAGTATATAATATAGTACTATTTGTATTATGAAATATAATGTAGATAATAAAAAAAATTAAATAATGAACTGATAACAATAATAACATACATTGAGTATACGATATTGTGTTTATTGCATATACCATTATACATGCCTAATGCATTATAATATAGTGTAATATAAAATACAAGATAATATAGTATTATCGAAATATCTTTAATGTATGTTATCATCATTTATAAAAAACCTAATGACACAATACGCCGACTAGATTGGCTTCAAAAAACGTTACACAGGATTTTTTATTAAATGATTCACGATGATTCTTTGAGATTTTTAAATTTTTCAAATTGAGACTTTTAACAGTCTCAACTTGAGATTTTCCGCATTTCCACAATCGAAATTAATCCAGCGTTTTGACTCCCAGGCAAAACCTCATCAAGGGATCTCTATATTCTTCTAAATCAATTTAAAACAAGTAGGAAATTACTTTTGCATTGAATTTAGTAGTTATTTTTGCTAATAAATTGGCAATATACTTCCGAATTGTTATTTTGCACATCATTTCCTTCTATAATTCACTGTTTATTTCATTTTATCAAATTGAATAAGATTTCTTTTTAACTAATTTTGTCAGAATTTCAACTTAGTTGAATGTTATCATCATCATTATTCTTATTTTTCCTTTCTTCTATACAACCGATTGTCCTTTTTGCGGTTCTATCTCTCCCCTCAGCCCTTCGATAAAATGTTAATAGAAAAATTTTATTTGTGCATAATTGAATGAATTTAAATCTGAGCAGATGAAATGTCATAGTTGAAATGTCGCCTAATTGAAAAGACATGGATTCCCCCACTAGCCCCTTAACGTTTCACCCCATTTCATTTTTCATAATCTCAAGAAACCGATAAATTGCTTGACATCTAGCCCACCTACCTTGCAAGTCCTCTTTGATGACGGTGACTTGAAGCAGGAGACGACTGAACTCATCTTCGGGATGATAGATCTCCACGACATCCCCGGGTTTGATCCCCGGGCAGTCCTTGGGGTTTATTATGAGGTCTGCATCACTGAAGTTCTTCTGGTGGACAATCAACTTGAACAGCTTCATGACGATTTGGTGAAGGAGGCTAGTTATTTGGAGATGTTTTTCAGTGTTTTTGGGGGTCCATTGTGTGATCCCTTCTGTTTTTAGCAGTTGGGGAATTGTTTTAGGTTATAATCGGGTTTTCACAAGGGGACGGCGACAGAACTGATGCCATCGTGAGAGGATAGCGTGAGGATGATTGTTCAATCACAAGTTTTTAGGGGGTGATGAGTCGTGGGGGGATCGCTTGATTTGGGAGTGATTAATGGGCATGACAAAATTTGACAGTTGGTGACTTTGATGGGTTGAAGGGGTAATGAAGAGGTGGATAAAGCCGGGATCATTATTACCGACGATACGAGTAGATAAAGAAAAGGGAAAAAAAACATTGCGCATTATTTTGAATCAATTTTTCTATTGAGACGTTCTCTGCGGGAATTTTTAATTAATTTTAATCAAAAATCAATTTAATTAACTTGATTTTTTAATGCAATTTTTCTTATCTTTTCATTGACACCCTTAATCTGACCCTTGTGACCTTTGATCTGACCCTCATTATACCCCTCGTGACCCTTAATCAGATCTATATGACCCTTCACCAGCCCTTGTAAGCCTTAACCTTAACCTGGTAACCCTTAATCTGATCCTCGTGACCCTTAATCTGACCTATGACTCTTAACCAGCCCTTGTAACCCTTAACCTTACCCTTCTATCCCTTAATCTGACCCTCACGACCCTCATTATACCCCTCGTGACCCTTAATCTGACCTATATGACCCTTAATCAGCCCTTGTAAGCCTTAACCTTACCCTGGTAACCCTTAATCTGACCCTCATGACCCTCATTATACCCCTCGTGACCCTTAATCTGACCTACATGACCCTTAACCAGCCCTTGTAACCCTTAACCTACCCTTCTAACCCTTAATCTGACCCTCACTATACCGCTTGTGACCCTTAATCTGCTCAATATGACTCTTAACCTTACCCTTGTAACCCTTAATCTGCCCCATATGACCCTTAATCGGACTCTTCTAACCCTTAATCTGACCCTTACGGCCATTAATCTGACCCTTGTGACCCTTATTCTGACCCTTGTAGCCCTTAATCTGACCGTCAGGACCCTCATTATACCCCTTGTGACCCTTAATCTAACCCATCTGACCCTTGTAAACCTTAATTTGATTCTTACGACCCCTAATCTGTGTTAATAAAGGGTCACGGGGGACCCTTATTCTGACCCTTGTAGTCCTTAATCTGACCCTCAGGACGCTTATCATGCTCCTTGTGACCCTTGTAACCCTTAATCTGATTCTTACGACAGTTAATCTGAGCCTTAATCTGACCCTTGCCACCCTTACTCTAAACCCTTAATCTTATTCTTGTGACCCTTATTCTGACCCTCGTGACCCTTATTTTCACCTTTGTCTTCCTTAATTGTGGAGTTTTAATTTCGAATACCAAATGTTTGTCACCAGAAGTCAATTTGAATTTTTATAATATAGAGAGAAATATGATTATAGGCCGGATTCTAGATTGTTCGGAATTATCTGGTTATCTATGTTCAGATGTTTACGAGATCTTGGCCTACCCCGACGGACGAATCAACACGCAGTATGAGTCATTGTTGAACGCCTCTGTTCATCTGCTCTGTTGTCTGTTGTTCTTTATCCTTCACTTCGCATCACAGTATTGAGTCAAGACTGGTCAAGACTGAAGAAAAAAAAAAGATCCCGTGAGGGTTTCCTTCGTCAAATAGAAACTCTAGTGGCCTTGAAAGTGTTTTCGCCGAGGAACTGCAGGGATCTCTGCAATCTGTAGATTTTTTTTTCCTGTTGGAACAGGATTGTCTTGTTGATAAAGTGGAGATAATTCTCTCTGAAACAGCAACACTGCCAATAATTGCGTCGAGTTCTTGCAGTGTTTTGGTTTTTATTGGGCCTGGTTTTTGGAAATGAGTGTTTCCTCGATGGACAACGGACAGACGGAGGAGAATAATAGGAATAGGGACGAGGACGTGGGGGATGCCTTTGGTTATGGCAGGTAAGGATTTTTGCTTGAGAATGGAAGCTTTGTATCCCTCAAATTCACGTTTTGAATTTTTTTGGGCATATCTATCTATTACGATTTGTGACCAAGTGGGTAGTGAATCAACTGAATTCAAGTGATTGAGTCCTACCCATCAACATTAATTAAAATTTAATTCATATATAAACTTTGAGAGTTGTCGAATTTTTTCAAAAATCGGTTGTCCCACGATGACTCAAAAAAATGGTCTGAATTAATTGGATGATGGCTTTAAAAAATTGTTCTGATGTCCCTTCGACCGAGTTCCAGGCACTTGTTACAAAGTTCCCTCCAAGGAAAAATAGTTTAGAGTATTTATCTCTACCACTAATTTATCTCTACCACTTTTCTTTACTGTGAAACATTTGAAAGATAAACACCCCATTTGAAATCCTTGTATACTAAATTGTAAATACCTGGCTGAAGGCTCTCGGGCAATGGCCAGTTGCAAGTTCTCGAACTTGCAACAAATTTCGTTGAAAATAAATAAAATAGTTTAGAGTATTTTTTTTAATAGGGTAAATAGGCCAATTTCTGGTCAATTTCAACTTTCATTGAATATTCCATAAATAATAGAGTGAAAATTGTACAGATTATTTCACCTTTTAATAATATTACTCGAGTATAATCATGTGATCAATTATTTTTTCTATTGATCGATATTTAATTTAATGAAAACAATGAGTATGGCCCAGTCGTTCAGAAACTAGGGCTGCATTCAACTACACTGAGAAAAAAACGACAAAGTTCTCAACCAAGTCTTACTTATGCCAAGAAAATAGTTTTTTTTAAATTATCAAAAAAGGATTTTTTGTGCCAAACATGCAGAGAGTGCGCCGGAATGAAAAATTTTTGTCGCAAAAATAGATTTAGTCGTTAAAAAAAAATTGCATTCTCTGTACACGCAAGAAATGTCATTTCTAGCACTACTTCGTTATTCGATACTCCCATACGTATTTTGCTCCCGCAAAATCTTAGTTTTATGCGAAACAAGAGATAGTAGTTTTTCGTTTCGGCTGTCTAATAATCACAGACAACAAATGAACCCCTAAATGAAACAATAATAATGCTATGATAGCAATCTTGTAACTTAGGGATAAAATATTTGTTGATAAATTTTCCTCTATGAGATATTTTCATCCTGAAAAGGCACCGTCTGGTGTGAATTATCCGCCTCTTGAGCCAAATATTTCGTTGCTGTCGAAAGCAGAGCAATTATTCATGTTTGAGACTTTCAAATTCGACCCAAACAAATTCTTTTTTGGCAATTTTCAACTAGCGATTTTGTGGGCCCAAACAAGACTTGTTTGACAACGTGTTTGTTTTTCTCTCGGTGTATTTCTTGATTTAACTATTTTTCGTTCGGTTATTTTGACTTTAAATAATTTTTTCTGCTGACTAAAACACTCTTGAAGGTATGGAAGCCGTCATATCCCCATTTAGGTGGTTCTTTCATTTTAAATCCCACCACGAAATTGGAATTTCTCTCAACCGTTCAGCAATTGGCCGGTTCACCCCAATTTATTTCATTTGTGAGATTGAGAGGGTTCTTTGGATGGATAAAAATAGTTTGTTATGGGAAACGAAAGAAAATGGGCAGAAACGAATGGTCTCGTTTTTCAGGAACACTGTCAGCCCTCAGGCTGCACCCCTGCAGACAGCTCCTACTGAACGATATGCGAGTCATTACAACATGAGCCATGCCAAGAGGGGACTCGCTATTATATTCAATCATGAGTTCTTTACAGTGAGCCACTTGAAGCCGAGGTCGGGGACCAATGTCGATTGCGAGCAATTGGTCAATACACTGAAGGATCTAGGGTTCGAGGTGAAGGATTTCCATAATGCCACGCACAGGGACATTGTGAAGAACTTGGAGGCTGGTGAGTCCCATATTGACATGAAATATTTTAAATAAATTACCTATTTCAACCCCAAAAAATATTTGTTTGATGTAAAACGAACCAAATAGCTATATTGTCCGTCGAGAAATTTAAATGAATGATTCAACGAGATATTTATTTAAATAAAATGATAATAAAATAAAATGATAAATAATAATTGTTTTTATTTATTGTTTATCGTTTCGTTTTGATTTCGCTCCATTAATTTTTCCAATAAATAACATGATCTCCGTTGCACTAAAATAATATGAAAATAAACTCTGTCGTCCGAAACCTTCACAAACACAATCTCACCATCTCAGTGAACGTCACTTCAGTTCATAAATTTTTCTATTCCAACGACACTCGTAAATTCACTCATAAATTCACTCCCTAATTCGTCTTTTGTAGTTGCCGAGAAGGATCATTCGAATCACGACTGTCTGATAGTCGCCGTTCTCAGCCACGGTGAATTGGGTCTCCTCTATGCCCATGACACACCGTACAAGGCCGATACAATCTGGTCGTACTTCACGGCTGACAAGTGCCCAACACTCGCTGGGAAGCCAAAGATTTTCTTCATCCAGGCTTGTCAAGGAGACAAACTCGATGGTGGTGTCAGTATGAAAGAAAGAACTGAGACTGATGGGCATCCTACTGCCACCTTCAGGATACCCTCTCATGCTGACTTTCTCATCGCTTATTCTACCATTCCTGGTGAGGATTTTATTTGATGAAATTCATTTCAATTAATGCACATATTTTTATTATTGATAAATCCATAATTGAGAATTAAGGATTTACTTAGCTAGTTATCTATTTATTTCTAGTTATCTATCTATTTTATTTATTTATTTATTTATTTACTAGCATTGAATGAAGAGAAATTCCCCATAAATCACGTGAGAATAGAAATCGACAAACAATTTTCGATAATCATACCTCAAATTTTTCATTTCTTCCTTTTTCTTTAAATTAATTAGTACCAATGATCTGAAAATGTGAATGAATATGAACGAATATGAACAAATGTGAACGCAATCCGTTCACAGAGACAGGAAATACGGAAAATGTAAGGAAGGAAAATCAGAAATAAAGTTCAAAAGGCGATTTTTCAGTCTTGAATATTTCAAAACGTTTTTTTTTAATAACGAAAAAGAACCAATGTATTTTCTTTCTGTCATCTAATTCTGATGGAAGAAAGTGAAAAGAGAAGGAGAAACGAGATCAACACGAAAACAGAATTTTTAATTTTTCAGTGTCTACGGAAAATTTTGAAATTGATATATTTTTTCGAATAATGAACCAATACCCATAAATTCAATTCCTATCCTTCCATTTTCATAGAATCGACGAGGAAAAATTTTATCGGATTATTATTATGTAATTCTTTCGTTTATGCATTCATTCATAATTATTTATTTAGTAATAATTAATTATTTTAGTTAGTAATAATTAGTTAGCAAAAGGGAATTTCAGGGAAATTATAATTATTGAATATCAGCAAGTAAAAATATGTAATTTATAAGCATAAAATTTATTGTTTTCCATCTGTCATCATGGAATTTTTTCCTTTATAAAGCTTGTGAAGTCAATGAACCCAGGTGAGCAACCTGAACGGTGTATAGACTATGACTTCATAACCTATGATTCATAGATCTGTGAATCATGTGACATACTGCGGGTATTTCCATTGATTATTCCAAAATAGTGAAGCAGTCATGGCATTTTTTTTCAATTAATTGTTTAATAATATTAATGTATTGTGATGCTATTGGTTATAATCTCTTCCATTGTTAATATTAGCTGAATAGTTCGTCATCTATTTAACTTTTTGAATTTGTTGTGAAGAAACAATACTTAATAGCTTTTAGAATTCTTTAAAATTCAAGATTTTGGATTGAATATTGACAGTTAGTGATATTGTTATTCATAATATCGGTATAATTTCTCATGAATACTAATCTCAATTGACCAATTCGCTTCTTTTTCCATTAATTTAATTTATTACAGAAATCAAGCCTGAAAATTTGTTTTAATTCCTTAAAACTCGTTATTTTGAATTGAATATTAACAGCTATTCCCGTTATTATTCACAATCTCAAAACCATTCACTCATGAATATTAATTTAATTTCAATAGATGATTTTCTATTCCATTTATTCAATTCATAATGAAAAATTATCTCATTTTCAGAATTCATTGTAAAAAACGGAATGCAATAGCTTCAAAAATTCCTCAAAATTCATTATTTTTAATTAAATATTGACAGTTACTAATAATATTAGGCATAATGAAAAATTATCCCATTTTCAGAATTTATTATAAAAAACAAAATGCAATAGCTTTAAAAATTCCTAAAAATTCCCTATTTTCAATTAAATATTGACAGATATTAACATTATCATTCACAATATCAATACCGCTAACTCATGAATATTAATATTAATCCAATAATTGATTATCTCATTTTTTCAGCTAATAATGGAATAAAAAACCCTCAATAGCTCTAGAACTTCTCAAAATTTTGTTGTCAATATTTTTTTATTATAATCTCTTTGTTTTCATCATTAGGCTTCTACTCCTGGCGCAATACAACTCGTGGCTCCTGGTTCATGCAGGCCCTGTGCATCGAACTCCGTGAGAATGGCACTCGCTACGACCTGCTGACCCTCCTCACCTTCGTGTCCCAGCGTGTCGCCCTGGACTTCGAGTCCAACACCCCTGACAACATGACCATGCACCAGCAGAAGCAGATTCCCTGCATAACGTCTATGCTCACACGTCTCATCAAGTTCACACCCAAGAATGGATTAATCAACGATCCAAAATCCACCTAGACTACATGATCACATGTCACGAATGGTTCCCCCAAAAAAAAAACAATAATTTTAGTAGTGAATTGGTAAAACTATCTGGGCCTGTTTCAACATCAGTTTTTGGAAGAAATCTTTGAATCTCGAGGAGACAGCGGAATTTTCGTTTAAAGCTTTTTTTAAGGGAATGATGAGAGCTACAAAAAAGTTCTGGGGGTAATTTTGATGTCTCGAGTAGATTCAGAGATTTTCATTAATAACTGAGGTAAAGATCTTCTGTTAAACAGTTTTATTTAATTCTATTAGTGTCTACGATTATCTCTGAGTAAAAATTTAGATAATTTTAGTAAATTTACAACTGAATTGAGTTGTAGTGAATGATTCGAGTCAATTCAATTCTTATTCTCAGATATTTATGGAAAACTAAATGCTTTAGTTCTGAAGTTCTCAAACGATTTGAGTTAATTTTTTTCCGGGAAATCTCGGGATCGAATGGAGATTGTTCTCTAATAAAAAAATTTCAGATCTAATGGAAAATTTCTTCAAACTTTTTTTGCAGAGAAAAATTACAGCAACAAAAAATATCTGAATGGAAATTTCACCATGTTCCTTACAATTGAAGATATTTAACAAAAACTCACCTAAAAACTAACTCATTTCACAATTTTTACAGTTGAACAGACTCAACAGATTTTTCTACCAATTCTCTATTAATCACCGCGATGAAAACGTGCTTGAATCACTTTCCACAACACGATTGACAGATTCACGAATACGTTTGCATTGAAAGGCAACTACTTATGTCCAATCGATCAATTAAAATCAATTAAAATGATTCATTATAATCAGTAATTCAGAATCAAGTTCAAAAAGATTGTAGATCACGCTGGATTTGATCTACTCGACGCATTTAGCGATGAAATAAGAGGTAAAAAGCCAAATCATCAAAAAAAATGATGAGACAATTGGTACTAAAATGTAGATAAACCCAATTGGGTATTTTTATCCACAAAAAAATGAATTTCCTTTCGTAATTCGATACTTCGACGAGTGATTGACTGAATTTTGTAATTTTTACCGAGAATTCGTGATATCTATTCACTCTCGAGGTATTTTTTAAAATTGTATCGAAGTCCTTATTTCATTCGATCTCTGAAGTAATTGCAATTGTAGTTTAAGCCCACGTAATTTGCCGATAAATATGCTCAGACGTCGAGCAATTAAATTAGTAATTAAACATATTATAAACTCGGTGTGATAACGATTTCAATCGATCAATAGTGCTGGTCAGCACGAGAAAGTCCTACCATCGGTTGTTGAATTTTTTTTTATTTCTTTGAGGTGAATTTAAGTCAAAACAATCCCTAAACGTTTGATTTCTCTTTACATTCTTTCTCGCCATTTTCAAAGCTCAAAGTATTGCTGAAGGACCAGTTCTGCATTTATTTACGTTTTATTATTGCTCAAAACAACGATGGTGGTCATTAAGCCTTAAAAATGTCTTTCACAGCGTTGAAATGTAAAAATTGTGATAATTGTACCATGACTGCCAACTGCATTATCAATATTGTATCTTTCGGGCGGTATGTCATCATTGGATTGAAAATGAATTGAAGATATCATTGAGAGGATCGTTGGAGAATTTATTCGACATTATGATGATCCTTTTATTCATGTGCGGGGCCTTCCAAATTGAAAATCACATGGGAATATTTCACGAAAGATTATTTCGATTGCAAAGTATTCAGAAGTCTTTTGTGACGAACGCAAAAGCAGTTTTTTATTAGGTGAAGAATATAGTGAACTGCAACAATAGAAATTGAGAATGGAAACTGAGTAAAAAAGAAAATTGATGACAAATTGAATTTGTTGTTTTGTTGATGGAAATTTCACTCCAACAATTTTTTTTAATGATGAAGTGTTTTTTTCGGGATATTTTTCAATGTGAATTTCAACTTGGGATTCAACTTTGTATGACGTAGGTTTTTATACGTATTTTCCATATGGCTGATTGTACCGAGCTTTTTTTCGAAAAATAAAAAATTGTATCACTTTGCAAGTGAAGGTAATTAAATAAATGAGCATATTTGAAAGAATACAGTTGTTTGTTTTTTTTACTTTTTAAATTTTTTATAGGATTTTCAGGGTCTGGAAGAAGAAATTGATTTGTTAATTGGAGATGGTTTATATAACCGCATTTTTCATTTTTTTCATAACAAAAAAGAAGGCACAGATTAATGACAGCTTGAATTTTCAGCCTCATTGTAGAAATTAAACATGACATTCAATAAGTTTTTATAGATTGAGAATTCAGATGAATAATTGCCTGAATTTCCACAATTGTTGATCATTTTCATTGCTACATGAATTTGAAAAAACGATATAAAATTAATATAAATTTGCCGTGGTTCAAAATTTCTTTTTTACATATTCAGGGCTTTGAAAATTGAAAATCACATCAAAGTATTTTTACGAAGATCATATTGATGTGTGAAACTCTAGAGAATTTCCTTAATTTCAGAAGAAGTATAAAAGGCGAGAAAAATGCAAAAAACTTCAGAATGAACTTTTGGGGATTCCCAAGGGTCTAGAAAGATCGTAAATTTCCTCGGGAATCGAATGCAAGTGGATTCAGAACGCTAGCCCCTTTCGTTTCATAAGAAATCCTAAAAAAACAAAGTGATAAAAAATTGCAAGTTTCTACGTATTTCATCAATCTTCCTCCAAAAGTAAACTGCTATTATTCTATTTTTTTTCAGATTTTTAAAATGTTTTCGAACGGTTCAATATCGGGATTCAAATTCAGACTTGCAAAGATAGTTTAAATGATAAAATCCACTTTAAAAATTTTGTGAAATTATTCATTTTTCCTGCATAATTATTGAGATAAAAATTAGTAGAAGTGAGAAACGGTAAGGTATGGGTGCTATTCTAACATCCATGGCAAACAATCCGCGCGCGACCTGTACTAGTCATTGTAAAATCTCCGGAAATTAGGGTCCAGTGGGGCTCAAATGAAAGCTCTGATGTTTGACTACAATAATAGAAAAGCATTTCATCAGAGAAAAAATAGCCAAAGTACATGGATGTCTTTAAAAATATTCAAGGATATTTTTCAATTAAATTTATATTTTGCACATAATTTTCCTTTAGTATTCTTTGTTTGGAAATAAATAATGCAAATTGCTTAAACTTGCGGAAACCTAATTTTTTTAAACATGAAATCAATTTCCGCAAAAATTCTAAATATGAATAAATTTGTTCCCATTCCTAACAATGATTTTTTCGGTGGAAAATTGATTGTTTATAAATGGATTATCCAAAATGCTCATAATTTTCCAAAAATGTAATTTTTAAAGTATTGCATCAGTCTTCCTACAAAATTAAAATTTCTGTTTTATTGTTCAGATTTTTAAAATATGTTTTTTACGGTCCAATATCACAAATCACATTCAGACCCGCAATGTTTGAATAATTAATCATTATAAAATCTCCAGAAATTTAGGGTCAACAGGGGCTCAAATGAAAGCCCTGATATTCGACTACAAAACCCGAAAACCATTTCATTGTCGAAAAAATAGCCAAAGCCCTCGAAAATCCTCAAAAGGAGCTGCACGTCGCGCTGACTGCAAATTCCCCCAAATCATTCCCCGAGTCATCGGTTTTTTCACCCGCCCCATGCAGATTCCCCGGAGTCCTCTCCCCCTTAAAAAAAATCTCAAATCCATTAAAATAAAAATGATAGATGCAGCCTGGTGTTTTCTCTCCCGAAGGCTCTCAACAGTGGTGCGGCTCGCTGACACGAGCGTTTATGTCTGCATAAATTCTCATTTGAAGCTTGATAATAAAGTAAGCAAGCCGAAGACGAGGGGTGGAGAGAGACGGACACGGTTGGCCGGTGGTTCAGACGTGCTCAACCAGATACATAGATCACCCGGGGGACGAGGAGCGTTTGGTCCACTCGGTGAATAAATTTTTCTTTTTTCGCGTATTCAGATATATCGGATAGATTTAATACACGGATGGATACGTGTGTGGGTATTTACCGACGTTGAAACAGTGTCGATACCCTGGAGCTGGCATTGGAGCGTCACCGGGGCCAGTATATGCGGTATGCTTAATTATATGCATTCTCAGAATCTTTGCGGAATCTCCACCTAATGCCCGTGTATTCTACCAATACCATTGGTTGGGCATGTGTAAACACCCCGTGAGCTGGAGATACTGAAATGCCAGGGAAGGGGGACTATTTCTAGGCAAATGGAGGAGGGTATGATTTATTTATTTAGTTATTCATTCATTTGTGCAGCGAGAACCAACAGCTGAAAGCCAATTACTGCTTCAAATCATCATATAATGTGTGATCGAATGCAAATTAATGGTTTACGGGTCGTTAGAGAGATTGCAGCGGCAGAATAATAGATGAAACTATTTTTTTTAGCTGAAGAATTAATTATAAAGTTCACAAGTTTCTGTGGAAATTGCTATTTCTTTAGCTGGTTCAATTATTCATTTATCTATTCGTTCTTGAAATTAGTTCCGGATGAAAATAGTTGAGGTTTTAAGGAATTTTGTCGTTGAAAATTCACAAATTGATTAAAAAAATCAATGGGAAATGTGAATTTCAATTCAATTATTTTAAGAGAGTTGATATAAATCAGTGAAATTCAGGTGAATCATACAATTCACAAAAATTGAAATGCAAAAAATAATCATGATTGATTTATTGTTTTTATCCGTTTATTGACTTATTTAATTATTCTTTATTTGTAAAGCCAATTAGTCTCAAATCATCATATTAAATATGATGATAAGTACAAATAAATAATTTACTGTTATTTACAAATTATGACATTATATTAATTGGCCTGGCGGTCATCAGTAAAAACCAAAAAGATCAAATTTTGTTTTTACTGATGACCGACAGGCCAATTAGGGGAGGATGGGGCAAAACGGTCCCCCTTCAATCGTCAATATTTTCCGATTCAATAATCCGATTGGGATGAGTTAGAGCTCGTTTTGAAGAATGAAAAATTATCTTCAAAATGAAGTTGAAACTGGGAATTTTCACAATGTCATTCACAAGTTATTGACAATTGAAGGGGGGCCGTTTTGCCCCACCCTCCCCTAATATAATGTCATAATTATTATCATACGGTCGAAGAAGATAATCATTTGAGTTATTTACAAAGCTCAAAACAAACAAAACAAAACAAAATTTGACGCATTTCTTTAAAATTTTTCAAAGTTCTTTAGAATTTTGAGAAAATCGTAGGGATTTTAGAAATTTTCAAGTTATTAAATTGAGATTTTAATGAATTTCATCATTAAAAATTCACAATTTGATGAAAAAAAAAATGGAAAATGTGAATTTCATTTTAATTATTTCACGAGAATTAATATAAATCTGTGAAATTCAGGTGAATGAATTCATCATGTGATGTTGAATAATACAATTCCACGTACAAAAATTGAGATACAAAAAATAATCATCGTCATTTCATCACGTCAAGAATTTTTTTTTACGAATGACTGCTCCACTCGGATATCCCCAAGAGAAAAGACCTCGCATTATGAGAAATACCATATACCTCCGAATTATTAATTCTGTCGACGGATTGATATATTCTCACCGCACACACTCATACCCCGAGTAAGTTTTTCGTTTCATTGGAATGAGACGAGAGAAATACGAACGTGAAAAAATGAAGAAATAAAGGGGCGGTAGGTGGGGAGATATAAAGAATGAGAAACGCGATTGGACACGGAGTTTATTTATGATACACGAAGAAGATGTCCTCGTATACACTTGACTACTCGCTACGTGGTGTCCACAGGAGCGAACCCCCCGCCCTTCCACTAATTTCCTTTTTATTCATTTTCCCGAATGTGTTTCTCGGTTTTTGTTCGAGCATGGCATTGAATATATCACCTCTTGGGCACACATAATTCGTGATTGTTTATAATTGATCATGAGGCACAATATCCTACGAGCTTGTGTGCGCGTGTGGTACAGAGACATGAGCGGTGTCTTTTGTATTCATTTCGCTTACGATTTTCATCGTGCTGGGTCAATTATTGCGGGTCAAATCTCATGGGTCTAATCAATTTGAACCACAAAATTTATTGTAATGAGTTAAATTGATTTGAACTACTGAATTTTCGTCGCGACGGGTCAATTCCTGAAGGTCAAATCAGATTGACGCACAATATTCATTGTGGTGAGTCAAATGGATTGACCCTACGATTTTTATCGTGCTGGGTCAATTATTGTGGGTCAAATCTCACGGGCCAAATCGGTTTGAACCACAAAATTGATTGTAATGGGTAAAATTCTGAATCAAATGGATTGACACTACGATTTTCATTGTACTGGGTAAATTAATGTGGGTCAAATCTCATGGGTGAAATTAATTTGAACCGTAAAATTTATTGTAATGGGTCAAATCGATTTGAACTACTGAATTTTCATCGCGATGGGTCAATTCCTGAAGGTCAAATCAGATTGGCGCACAATATTCATTGTGATGAGTCAAACAGATTGACCCTACGATTTTTATCGTGGTAGGTCAATTATTGTGCATCAAATCTCATGGGCCCAATCAGTTTGAACCACAAAATTGATTGTAATGGGTAAAATTATGGATTGACACTACGATTTTCATCGTGCTGGGTAAATTATTGTGGGTCAAATCTCATGGGTCAAATCAATTTAAACGGCAAAATTTATTGAAATGGGTCAAATCGATTTGAAGTATAGAATTTTCATCGCGATGGGTCAATTCCTGAAGGTCAAATCAGATTGACGCACGATATTCATTGTGGCGAGTCAAATGGATTGACCCTACGATTTTTATTCTGTTGAGTCAATTTTTGTGGGTCAAATCTGATGGGTTAAATCAGTTTGAAGTATAAAATTCATTGTAATGGGTCAAATCCTGAAGGTCAAATTAGATCGGTGCACAATATTCATTGTGGTGAGTCAAATGGATTGATCCTATGATTTTTATTGTATCGAGTCAATTATTGTCGGGCAGATCTCGTGGGTCACACCATTGTAAATCATAAAATTTATTATAATGTGTCAAATCAAATT